TAGCAATATATGTGTCATGAAAGTAAATCAATGCTCTGTAATCTTCTCCTGTTTTCAAAGTTTTCCATTCTTCATCGAATTTATTTACAAAACTGCCATCGTCCAAAGCCATCGCTTTTGTTATTTGATAATTTAATTTCATTCGTCTGATATCATTGAATTTGGCTAAATTGCAAGAAATGGTTTCGATGAAACTACGTGTAGCATCCATCAAAGTGTTGATTAAAAATCCTTGGTTAAATATCCATCCCAAATAACCACCCCATGTAGATGATGATAGTGTTGTATTATAACAACCTGTACCAATCGAAAGTAAATGATAATTGACTGACTTTTTCCATTGCATTCGTATTGCCCATAACGCAGCTAACTCTGGATCGTTAGCAAATACACCGCCATCAATATATAATTCGGGTGTGCCATCTTTCACGAAATGTTCATTATGTTTCTTTCCACTGCATACTTCATATGGTGGAAAATAAGTTGGAGCGGCCATAGTAGCTTTTAATACATCTGCAATACGATAGCCCCAATGCTTAGCATAACTTGTATTAAATATTGCCATACTATCCGTTGTTGTGTTGTACGCAGTAATCAGTAATACTTTTTCACGTTTGACACGATAAAGATTGCCAAGTTCATTAATAGGCTCTAGATCCTCTGTAAAGATCTTATCATCAACAAATTCTAAGGAATTGCTACGATATGGAACGATCGATATCGATTTTTCATCATCAATTGTATTATCAGGGTTCAAGAGATTATGAATATCAAGTAAAGTAGCACTTTCAGCTGATAATCGAGTACCATCTTTTAGTTGAATTCCATTGATTATTTCATCAATCTTATGATGTATACGAGATGGATCATATTTAGAATAGATCAAGGGTCCCAAATAGTTGCGCTTGAAATAATAAGAAGAGTTTGCATAGATATCCATCATATCTAATATATTATGATTTATAGCCAAACAAAAGGCGATGAGTCCACCGGTACTGGTACCGACCAAATAATCAAACTGATCCGTAAAGCGCAACTGAGCTGTTTTAAATTGTTCCTTGTGAGCTGCATCGTTAGGATTAAATTGTTGAGGGCTTGAGAGAAATTTTTCTGCTATAAGTTGAGCAAGAATTTTGATAGGCATGTAACCACGTACACCTAAAAGTAAGAGAAACAATGCAAGAATATGCATGTCAAAGAGAAGACTTTCATTAATCTTACCACCACCGTCTAAGCTGAGTACACGTATGTTCCGTTGAAATGATTGCAAATGGTATCCGGCAATCAATGCATTCAATTGATTCAATTCTGTTTCTTGGGGTGTTGTTGATAATTCATTGGCCAGTTGCTTTAACCTTTCTGTAACTATGTACACTTCATAATCATTTTCGATTTTTTTCTCCTTTTGTATCTGCTCATATTTTTTTTGTTTTATTTTCTTTCGAGCTTCTCTTCCATTTTTTTCAGCTTCTTCGACCGGTAACCACTTCAGGCACTCGTCAGTTATTGGCTCAGTTTTCGATAGTTTTTGATGCCAGTATTCATGATGATTATGTGTTTCAGGTAGTAATTCAGCATAATCAGGTTTAGCACATGTAGGACATAAATCAAACACTTCGCATACTGTACATTGTTTCCAAACCACGTAATCGATAGTAACACCACAATTGTCACACCGACGATGCGTAGAAATTCTACTGGATGACACCAGAAATCGTGACGACATTCTGAAAATACTTATATAAATGTTGTTGATGATGGACATCAAGGATTCTTGATTTGTCTGTTATTAAATGCGATATCAATAAGAAAACTTAAATATATCCTATAAAATGCCTAATTCGAATTCGAACATGCAATGAATCACAACAGATCAGTCCCCGTTAGAAGATAACTGAGGAAGATGAAGAGTAATTGTTCATGACTCGAACTAAGACTTTGGTATTCTAATGTCAAAAACGCTGAGACATTATGATCAAGTGAAAATGATAAACGCATTGTTGTACCCAATCTATTTTTCTTATAATACGAAAAGCGCATAAAAATTAACCTGAATGAACAAAAAAAAAAAGAAAGATTCGAAGTAAACAAGTGAATGAAGTAAAGATCAACATTTGAGATAAAAGCTATACTTAAATACTTCATCATCATATTTAGCATTTCTTCGCAATAAGTCATTATCTTGCTGCGCACAAAAGCATGTGAGAAACGATAAAATATGAGATAAAGAGCAGAGGCAAAAGAGTCAGTAGTGACGTTAATTTGTCAACATTGCTCATCGGTATTCTTGTAGATGAGAAAAAAGAAAACAATAACTCGACCGAAAGATATAAGTACTTTTTGTCCTGCTATCATATTTCCCTCTTCAACGCGCTTAAGTATCATATGATCCATGATACAGCAAAAAGATAGTGTTAAGATATGTTTTCAATCAATTTTTGCAAGATATGAGTTAAGATGTGAAGGCAACCTTTGATAACGAAAAAAACAAAACAGAATAATTAGTGACGAATGAATATCGCCACCATATGCACAGCACATGATGAAGTACAACAATCAAAAAGCTTCAAAAAATATTCATTTGAATAAGTTTCATACTTATGCCATAGTGAACATATTTTTGTCGCTTTTCAACTAGGAACAAAGAAGAATGCTACGCTCTATCAGAAGCTTGTTATGTGTTCAAGATCTGATAGATCTTAACTATTCTTATCCATACTATTTCGTTTGTCTTATAGTGTTGACAGTCAAACATAACAGGATGCTTTATATCGAAATAGAAAATATTTCCAGAGCTAGAGCGTACAACGTTTACTCTTACTTGCCACAAATCAACTAGATTTCTGTAGTTACCATTAGCAGTATTTTTTGTCACTTTTAGTTACGCGTTGCTTTCGCTCCTTGCAGATCAACAGAAGTTATCTACACCATTGAGAAAACAAATGTGTTCGAAGTCTGTGCATATTCATTAACAGATGATTAGCAACGAAAGACTTGAACCTATATTCAAATTGTAAGCCCTCATCATAGTTGAAAGAACCAAATGGTATGTATTCGTTAAGTGATATAAATTTGCTAAGCTATCATTTATCAAAACATTTATTTACGAGGCAGCTGCTCAACTATTCAATAGTCATTGTCAAATGGACTGCATTAGTATTTGCATCATTTCAAAAAATTAACAAAATATTTAGTTCTGTTCTTATCTTTGTTTGTATCAATACAATATAGTATAATATTATTGAAAGCATTGTTTTACCGAAACTGAAATAGTTTAGCATGGGATTTGTTTCATTGATCTGGATGACAAGCATTGTTAAAAGATCTATTTATAATTTGATCTTACTATCGATCATTTTTGTATCATTGGCGTAAGAATTTTCAAAATTTCCTCAGCATCAATATTCCTGACAAGTCTCTCAATCATTCCAAAACAACATTGTGTATTATATATAGTCTTTTACAAAATGCTTCCATAGAATTTCAGACAATTTGAACGGTTGTTAGATAGCTTATGCCACTCGACAATCAGAATTTTGTCTATTGTCTAGATACAGAAACTGAATCAAAGGGCTTCTATAGAGTCGAAGATCGAAGAGAATACCAAGAAATTCCATAGCAAATCAGTTGTGACATGTAGATAGAGAGTATACACATGGGTGTTATTTTTCTCTTCACTCATACATCTACAGCTCTCATCATCACTCACATATATGATTTTGTTATATTTCTATTTGATATCCTCTTCCTGATTCTTCTGATAGTTTTTCATTCAACCTCAACTGAAATTAGCATAAAAGGTCTGCTGTAATAACTTTCGACACAAGGATATGTGTTCCTTATAGTGTATGATTGATCAGTAAAGATCAAAAACTCACTCAGTCACTGTAGATACTTTCTATTTATTCATTGTTGTTGCAGAGATATTGTAGTCGCATAATGGGCACTTAAGTAGGTACTTTTAATTGCATAGCATAAATTGAATAAGTAATTGATGGATGGCAAGATGTATAGGATGTTAGCAACGAACTGTTTTTTGCTTGAAAAACAAGTCATGTTAATACTCGTGTGAAGTAAACCTGAATAAACATATATTGGCTACGATACTATGCGGATTGAACACTATGATGAAAGCACTTGACGATTTTTAACCATTGATTCTATCAAGTTTTCAGCATAGTCAAGCATAATTACTTATTTACAGTATTCGGAATCATTACATGCGTCCAGCTCCAATTTTTCAAATACAAACTCCCCTTCTGTATCAAGACAATCATATTAGCCATCACGGTTCTCGTGTTAGTCAAGGATAAGAGGGTTTGTAGGTTATAGATAAAGCGAAGAGCCTCACCTACAACGACACTACCCTCAAGTGTAAATATGCATGTGTCTGTAACCTCACCACATTCATGCCCCGTAGTATATTTAAAAGTATTTTATTAACTTGAATATACAGAAAGAGCATTTTTTTTCAATATTTTTCAGTAATAAAATATTTCTATTGAGTCAGATAATATCACGAAAGTAACATAACTGCTTCTTTGATTGTTTCTTCTGTAATTCCGTTCAATGGCATAGTCATGACAAAATGGTCTTGCATTCGTTTTTTATCAAGTTTCAATAAATCCATATCGTCAATGGCGATCCATTTCCTAATAATAATGTTTTGTTCAATGGTTTTATTGTCGAAATCTTTCATCCAATGATAGATTTCATCGATTCTTGTTTTACCTCGACTACTAGTCCATCCTAATAAGGAATCGATTCCAATTTCTTTAAATGATGATTCGAGTTTGGATCTTGATTTTGGAAAAAATCTAAATTGAACAATAAATTCATGATTGAGAACTAATGAAATGGAAACTTGCCAATTACCTCCAAGAAGAAGTTAAAACGATTCGAGCAGATGTCATGTCTACTATGGTCTTCAAATTTTGTAAACAATTTTTATCAATTTCTTTTCGTAAGCATAATACTCCATCAATATCTAAGAAGATGATTTTTGTTTCCATCTATATCTAGAAATATTTAACTGAAGTTACAGTTCGACATTTATAAATTAGAAGAATTTTTTTGTTTGAATAGAAGATTTCTGTCCTTTTATTCATATTGTTAAACATATATTGTAAATTAAACTATCTCAATAGATTATAATCCACATTTAAACAAACATGAATGTAAATCTTTTATCAATAACTAATTCAACCAAAAAGATTAAGTACTCTAAAAGTCAATGTTTTTGGATGAATTCGTTTTCGATAAAACTCGCTGAGACTTATAAATCAGCCGGACATTATGAGTGAATTACCCAAAATATCGGCTAAAGATTCGAAATGATAAACTAGCAGTAGTTTAGAGAATCTTTACTATGATCTGATCACACTATCAGGGAAATGCTTTTATGCCTCAATTATTGTTTGAAACACACATTATTGTCCAAAATAATAGAATCTCTTATCTATATTCAATTGTTTGATTATTTGAAGCCATGTGCAATCTGAAATGAACAAAATAACTACGTAGCTATATGCACTCAATTAACCGACTTTAAAGTTGAAAAACTGTTTGATTTTCCTTTTTATAACTCAAAAGATTGAATTCTATAAAGTTGACCTTAGCAGATAAACTTTAGAAAATTAAGTTTATTACATTTCATGCTCTCAACTCAAGTTTGAAAAATGTTTTCTTTAGAGTGAAAAAGTGAAAATCCTCTTAGAAAGTATTTTTTATCAGTTTTCCACGATAAAGATGTTTCATAAAGTTGAGTCCAAATCATGCAATGTAGTAGATGAAATTTGTCAATTTTATCCTCTATAATCTAAGCTTTGTATATACCGCTCTTGGTGATGCGAAATGAAAAGTAATGTTTTTTATCATTTAAAACCAGACTATGTTTCACTACTTGCATCTAATTAATTGGAAAATAGATGATACCAAGATATCATGGCAGTTGAAATGACACACCAATAACAGACATGACATTCTTTGCTTGGCAGTAACGTGCTCACAATAACGACAAAATGATTCGGCGATTTTTTATCTTGTTCAAATGGATAAGTATCATGACTTCGCTGAAGAATAATGCTTTCTTTAATTTGCACTTCTTGCTCCTCTTTCAATCTAGCTATAATTTTTCAATCATCGATACGAACAATATAGGCGTAGACGGTCGCTTGTTCTGCAGTCGGAATCACTTCAACATTGAGAAGTACTTCTTTGATTAAGACATCAGCAGCGAATGGTCACATCTTAAATTTGACACTGTTTTGTTTAAATGGCTATACCTATGTTGCTCTGGCTTGTAAGCAATTCAGCTCGGGTCGTGTTTGATTCGAAGCTTTTTAAAAATATAAATGCATTTCTGATGGTGATACTCGTTGATATAAGCAAGATGCAAAGTAAGAAAAGTTGTCGCATAGATGACGCATTATTGACATGACAAGTTGACATGGACGTGTAGGTAATAGAACAAAACGAGTCTGTGTAATAAAGAAAAGAACGAGAAAGATTCATGATGAGTGATGAAATGATGAATCAATAAAAAAAAAAAGGATGTTGTCAGATATCTACCTATTCAGTTGAAAATATGCTCGTTTGTCGTATAAACCGTGACGTTAAGGTCCAAAACACTCGTTTACCACAACAAAGGATTTTCTAAGTAAAAATTAATTTTTGATAATTTCACATGTGGTGGATGATTATCAGTTTTTCCCGACATATAATCTAATCCATAGATTATTTTCATTTTGTTTTCGAAATATTTATCTAAATAAATAAAAAATCGTCAGTAGAAAACATAATATACCAATAGAAATATTGTGTACAATATTCAAAATTTTACCTTTCTTGAAGTTCGAAAACTTTTAGAAAATATTTTGATTGGAATGTTATGTTTTATAATTGAACACATTTTCATTTATCTAAATAAAAATTTTGACTTGTTGTAAATAAAATATTGCTGCTTTTCGACAACAGTATGAAAACTACTCATAGATTAGATAAGATATCAGAAAAAAAATGATTGTAAGCTCTCATCGAACATTTTAAAAAATTTTTCAGACTCCTTGTATACAGTTGAAAGATTGTCGTTTACTTCGAAATGTGAAGTAACTGAACTGTCTGGATTGAATAAATGAATGGACGTATTCCCTAAATTTATTCTTTCTTTCCTTCTTCTTTCCTCCTCTTAACTTATTTTTCATTCGCTTGCTCAATAATGACAAACCGGAGAAGTATGGCGGATACCGTAACCTTCAGTATAGATGTTTACTACACTACTCCATCACTTGAGTTGTGTCCACTTCATCGATGATACGAGCTCATGTATCAGAGAAAAAAACGAGGAAGGAGAAAGAGATGAGAACATAAAAGAGAGTGAGTAGAAGACAAAGTGACCAAGTAGCCATTATTGTTCATGAGGTCAGAGCTTCTAGCCAAATTGTGACCGAGCTCTCTGACATTATTGAACGGATAAAAGAGAAACAGATGACATTTCATAATTATTGGCACAGAAAGGAACACATTTTCTTTCATGTCAATAAACCTATAGGAAATGAATTTTTGATGGAAACAAGTCATCAGATTAAAAAAGACAAATGAAGGGTTCGTATGCTTTAAGTTTCTGTCACAATTATGCTGGTAGACTTAGAAGCATTATGTCACAAGATTTCAAATAGCTAATGAATAGAACTACAAATCTAACAAGAAAAGAATTAAACTACGTTGATCATTCATAAATCAAAGTCTTGAAAGTAAACATGATCTGAGATTTGCATCTAGTTTTTGCTGATCGACATCTGAGTTAAATTACGATTCAGTTTAAATGAAAAATATATTGTAACTCCGTTTAATCAAATATACTCTTGATCGTTTTTGTAAGTCTGGAATAATATATTAGATGATTTCAAGACCTTTAAACTGCCCTTAAATAAAAGAAACTTTTCAATCTAGCTCGTATTTTGTATTTCATCATTTGCATTGATTGCTGTAATCTCAACATGATGAAACATGTTTAGAAACAATAGAACATGTTTGTTTCTGTTTTTATTAATTTCTACGTACTTTCATTTATCTATGCAATCTCTCAAATTATGAGCCAATATTGAAGTTAAATATGATAATGTGAATATATGTAGAGGTTACGTAAAAATTTTCTTCCAGGAGATAACACTGTAATTTCGAATAACATCAACAACGAATTTTTGTACATAACTAAAGTGCGAGTCAAAAATAATGTTCATCAATACTAAATAGTAAGGCTTATGGCAAGTTTTTAGTGTCGAATTCAGAAAAATTTCCAAAAATTTTACGCCATTTATTTTAAGATTTGACGAAAAATAGGCAATAATCAGTATGACAATTTTCAGTACTTTTATAGGAGGAAGATGAGACGGATACGAACATAAAATAATTTCAGATAGGTCAGTGTTTCTTTATCATAAAAATTGTGATCCGTATTTGATAACAGTTTGCTTTAGCTTCATTTTTAACTAGTTTTCTAAGTCAGGTATCCAATACTTTTTGATATTCATCATATTAAATGATATCTAGTTTGCACTGGATATTATCTATTCTTAAGTAGCACTAACTCTTCGGATATGATCGAACTTCTTTTTTACTGTTATGTCTATAAATAAATAACAGTTTAGAACAACTAAGACTATTAATCGACTATTAGGACGGTACATAGGTGCAGAGGAGGAAATTATCATTGAAATAGATTCGAGAATTTTAATATACTCGACACTCGAAACAGCCGAGCAGTTTGTAATTTACCTATAACGGCAGGTGGTATTGACTACCGCAAGACTCTAATGTTATCTTCAAGCAATTTATTCACTAGCAAGTTGCTTGCATTAAACAAATCATAATTGAATAAAGATATTTTTGTAAAGATTGCTACTACAATAATTATTCGACTATTATTTGAATTTTATGTATGTATTTGGCTATAAACTGTTTCTAAAATACATCTAGAACAAATAAAGACAAGTTTTCATCTGAGAAAAAATTATTTTTTTTGTCACTTTCAATAAATAGCAGATGCCTGATGGATGTTGGACAAATATCACTGCATCAGATCACATTTTATTGTATATTTCCATAAACTTTCTAATACTTTACTGATTATTTCAACTTTCACTTATTTCTTCATGTTACTATGCTACTGTCATTGCTCTACTGCACTTCTGTCTATTTGTCGAAACACTAAGAAAGCATCCATAAAATGATTGTAAGTATTAATTGATTTTTGAAATTAATAATTTAATTTAAAAGAATCATTAAAAATTTGAAAGTTCATCACTTTTTTAATATTTCGATGATTGGATTCTTTCAATTGATATGCAATTATAAGCATTCTCTGTTGTTTCGTTTTATTTTGAATAGAAAAAGAATATTTATACAAGAATAAGAAAACATCAATTTTAGTCTTCAATTAGAACAACATCACTCGATTGCGTATTTTCTTCATGCTCATTAAGTTCTTCATCTGGTCCAAACTATATATGTAAAAGTAGAAAGTATAATACAAAAAAAAAATTTCAAGAAAACTTACAAAATATTCAACAAGTGAAGGTTTATCTTTTTCAGTATAAATAAGAAATTGTGCACATAGAATTCCAGCAGCATCAATACGTAATGAAAGTTTACTTGCAATTGATAATGCTCGAACAATATATTGAAAAAATTGAGTTTTATATCTAAAGAATAAGTTTATTAAAATGAAAAGAGAAAATCGATATTACCGATTATGTACTGGCTCCGTACATAGAAATGTATCCATAACAGGTGAATCTTGATTTATATCAACTGATGTACTACCTCCACATCCATTAGCAATAAGACGAAAATGTGGAACATCTTGAGTGATAAATAATTCAATACCTTTAAAAAAAAAATAAAAATAGCAGAACTGAAGAAAAAAAATGAATAAAATACTTACAATCAGCTTTAAGATCAATTTCACTAAGTGCTTCTTTAAATCCGCTAGCCTACAATTATAAGTTAATCAAAAGCATTTGTTTCATAATTGCTTACTAACCTTAAAAACAACTTTAGTAACAACATTTTCTGTTTGAAAATCAAAATCAATTGTATCTGTATCATCTAATACTTTAATTAAACATTCAGTAATTACACCTTCTTCTTCTAAACTACGAAATGAATAAAAACAAAAAAAAGAAAAGAATTTTATCTCTGATCGTTTACAAAATCAATAAATAAATAATGATAAATTACTAAAGTTGTAATGGATGTGTTTGATTTTCACGATAATGAATTTGTACAGCAACGTTAGTTGGTAATGGTTCATGTGTCACCGGATCAAGTGGAATACCAAATATATTCAAACAATTCTAAATCGATAAATCATGTGAAACAAATGAAAACAAAAAGACATAAAATTATACAAGAACAGTTTCAAGATGAAATCGAAATCGAACTTGTCGCATCAATTCATATGAATCAAAAACACGTGTATCAATAAAAGCATTGCCTTGTACACATTGTTTATCTTCAACAATGATTTTTATTCCAGTTGGTAATGCACAAAATATAGCATCCTAAATAGAAATCTTCTTAAATAAATCTATACTATGAACTTCGTATATATTATATAGTTTTCTTCAAATGTGATTGATCTCTACAACATTTATATTTGTATCAAATGAATGACACTTTTCTCTAATCAAACATTTCAATCGATCATTTTTGGCTTTATAGAATTGAATGAAGTAGTCAATATTTTTGAAAAAAAATTATTTTCTTATCAAACTCAATCGTAATCGATAAGACTTTGATTTCACATTTATCAAACATGCATTCTCAATTTTACCTTATAAATGAGTAATATCAATCATGAAATAAATAGAAAATTTTGGTAGAACTCTATTCAAACAGGTTTTAGTTAGAATGGATTGTAAACATTATTCTTCTCGATTATTAATTTCTAATAATATGAATATATAACAATAAATCTTACATCAGCAAAATGAATAGTTTTGAGAATACTGGCAAGTGTTCGACTTGATTTTAGTTTCGCAATAAATGCAATATCTTCATTATCAGTTTGTTCTTGTTCATTGACATTATTTTCTTCTTCATCTGTATCCTCTTGATGTCTATCAAATAAAGACATTTGTTCTAAAATAAATCTCTTTAAGTTAAAATCACTATTTATAAGTGCTAACAAAATATCATTCTATTGACCGATCAAATATAATATATATAAATTACAATAAGACAAAGAAAAAATGTGTTCATTCATTTATTTTTTTTATACAATGCTGTTAAACCAACGTACAGAGTAGATCTTAAAATACATTATGAACATGTTCCTTGAAATTATAATAATTGTTTATATATTGTTTAAATTCGACAAAATAAAATATTTGACGTTAATCGAATGAATAACCATAAATGTGTGTGTAATAGAATAACTAAAGTTATTTATTGATATGAATATTACATTCAATATTAAACTTCGTAAAATATTCATTTTTTTATATTTAGCTAGTGATTATGATTCTTCATAATCTATTAATAGTTTTTCATCGGTTTACTTATTTAATTAATCATGAATATATTGGTGCACGAATCAATCATTTAAATTAGTCGTTTGTTAAGTCTATAATAAGAATAAAATTCTTATCAATTAAAATGAAAACAGTAATTATATATCTACAAAAGAATATCTTCACTAACATTCAACGGATAAGATTTAGTTAATTATACACGTGGTTATTACGTTAAATTACATCATAATTCATACATCTGGATATCAAACATATATTGTCAATGATGAATTAACAATGGAATATTTCTATTCATATAGTTTTTTTTGTACCTTAAAATAATCAAATTATTGAATACTTAAATCGTTCTCACATATTCTGTAGTTCTATTGGTTTAATTTCCATACAAATTATAACATATACGAGATGGCGACAGGTTTTTATAGATAATTCGTTAATTTTTTTATTGTTTTACTTTTTTGAAAATTTCAAATTTCAAAAAACGAAATAAATATGATCTTTAAATGATTTAAATTAATGAATACGAAAAGTAAAATAATCATATCTCTAATGCAGTATATTTATCTACTAGAAAATTTTTAAATGTTTCGATACTTATAATCAATGACTCGAAAATTTTGCTGCGACCGTTTAATGTTAACAAAAGATGGTATAATAAAAAAAAATTGACCTTGAAAATGGTGTTGGTGGTTCTCGTGTTTGTGCTTGGAATCATGATGATGTGAGTTTCAATGCTGTCGATTCTCATCTACTCAACATTTTCAACTTGAGTAAAATAACAAAAAAAAAAACTAGTCTAAACTATTTTATATCTAATTTTTCTTCATTATAGACAATTGTAAACTAAAAACAACATTGTACGACTTTCAACGTCATTCTCTGAATAAAAATGAATACGAAAATTTTTCACAATATGTTAACGAATACGGACTGAATATTAACAGCACTTTTATCTATGAAGGTTTGATTCTTTTCTTCAGTTTTTCATATAATCATGTCTTTTTTGAAGTTAATGATGATGATGATGATGAATCAGAAATAATAATAATGAAAACAAAAACTGTAGTTTCAATGGAAACATCAACATAAGAGCAAAAGTTAACAATAATTTGAAAGATATCTTTTTTTTTCAATTAAGCTATATTATTAGAACATCAGCATTAATAAGAACTAGTTCATCAGCAACATCCCTTACGAACAAACTTGTCGTAGACAATCAGCAATTGCATCAGTATGAGATATGTTTTGTTTGTAAATCAAAATTTGAAAGAAAAAAATTTTTTCTAGATTTTCACTGGGTAATCAATTGATAAAAGTTAATCTTTATCGTGAAGTTTTTTTTATTTAGAATATTCATTTAAAATTGCAAGTAATAATTTAATGAAAAATGTTCATCATTTAATAAATCAAAATAGTTTTGATGAAATATTATTCAATACGCATGTATTCTGAATGATTATGTTTGTTCAACAATTGATCCATTAGTAGAAAAAATCAAATCAATATTTATAGTTCACAAATGAATCTGAAGTTATATTACATACAAATAGTTTTAATTGCATTCATGAAATTTGTGAATCAATAAATACATTACTAATGCTGGACAAGAAACATTTTAATCATATTGAAATATTTTCTATGTTTAATAATGCTTTTTCTCAATTTTATGATAACTTAAAGATATTTCAAAAATAAAACAGATCGAATAGCATAATAAATTTAGTTAAACTATTGTTAAGAGATATCCACCCATGAAAAATTATTCGGAAAGAGAATGAAAAAGAATAAAATTTTGAAAATTTCTTCGATTGTGAATGGAAAGTCAAAATTATAAAAAAGAGATAAAATTAGATTGAGCAGATGTCAAAATCGATGGAAAACATTTCTGAACTTATATTTCTGTTATACTCAAGCTATTTTTATGCATGCTTAATTCGATTTTTATCCATCGTTCGAGATAAAAATGATTTATCCATCAAATAAAAAGAAACAATAATAAATTTTTTTAATCCTATTTAACCTTGACTCTGAAAATATCATTATATTTGAAAAATAATTTATTTAAATTTTTTAGACTGTTCAGAATCGATGGTTAGAGAATATTAACAACTATAACATCAAAGTTGATTCATCGGTATCAAGTCATTCAAATATTCAATCAATATCTTCCAATATACAAACTCTATCATCATCTCAAGGTCATTTTTAAATAAATCTAGAATATTCTGATAGTAGACAATCGACACCATCAAACAGACGAATATTAACAACTCTTTACAATGATAACGATCAAACTTCCTGTGTTTCAGCTTTATTATCTAAAGATGAAAACTTTTTAAGAAATGTTCGAAAAGAATTAACATGAACATCAAGACAATATAAATAGGTTTAGATATTGTTCTGTTTCTAGTCGATAGGAATTATTTTTTATTTTTGTTTCGATGTTTACATATAAATAAACTTGAACAGAAATGTTCATAAAACCTTTCGTGTATCAAATAATAATTGATCTTTAGTGATAAATTTCATCAGGTTCTTGTTTATAGTAGGTATAAATCAAAACCATCGTAAACATTGAAATATTGACACTGGTAGCAATCATACAGGTAGAGAGTGTTCATAGGATCCACAATTTTCAGACCCGAGTTTGACAAATTTCACTTACAGGTACTTATTGAAATGCCGAGTCATTGACTTAAGTATTATTGTGTGTTTGGTTTTAGTTATTGATAAAGATAATAAAATGAATACTATTGTGTATTGACAGAAGAAAATTTAGAATCCTGACTCAGATTCTCAATAGAACCAAATACAGTTTTTTAATGTTACATAGAATGAGACGATTCGTAAGGACTATCTTCTCAGCTATCATTTTTTCATATTTTCACAGATGATCTTATGTATCGTTACTAAATAGACTAGACTTCAACGCTTTGATGGTAGCATTTTTGAACTATTTCATATATGTGTAATAAATTTTATTGAGATCTATTCGACAACTGTTAAGTTACTCAATGATCAAAAAAATTGCGATTATTCAGTTACCGAGAAAAATTACACATTTTTGTATACTCTTCATTTGTTGTCTTTCTTCATAAGTGCTTATATTAGTTGAGAGAATCTTGCTTTTACGGTACGAAGCACAGCATTTTTATAGTCGGTTGCATACGGATTTAGCCTTCATACTTTATGTGCTTTTGCTTTGACTAAATTTGTACTTTGTGTTTTCGAAATATGTCAAGGAGATCTATGTCCCGAGATGATATAGAGGTTTTTGAATCTTCAATATGAGTTTTCATGCATCTTAAGAAAGTTTCGCAAAACGCTAATTTTGTCGACGTGGTCTCCATCTTTTACTAGAGATAATAAAAACTTTCGATAGGACAGGATCGACTTCAAGTCAAATCATTTTTCATTCTTATGTTTATTGAAAGTTCATTGCTGAAAATTGAGATCACTTCACATCGCATTTATGTAGTGTTTTACGAATTTTCTTTTACTTACCAGACATACGCATCGAAATTTATCGTGATCTGCTGCGATGATCTCAAGAACGGAGAGATAGAAATAGGCAGATAGATGATCTTATGCTGGCTTATTTGCACATTAAAGAATGTAATGGATTTGAAAGAAACCATCTTTTTGTAAGAAACTCCTATACCTGTTTGAAATCAAAATGGATTATATGTATATATGTTAAGCTTTTTACCTCTAGCTTGATACGTTGGGAGATATTCCGCATTTCTCTAATTAACAAGAAAATTTTCTGTTCTATCACGGCGTCGATCTATTTTTATCATCATGTGGTTTTTACTCTACAATCTAATACAATTTTAAGTCATTGAATAGAACGCAGCAGATAAAACTTAATCACGGTTCCTACAGAACATAAGACATTGAACTGCATGAATCAGACACCTACGAATACAGATGATTATAAATGATGAATCATAGAAATAATTAAACAATCAATCGACAATGTTCGTGAGAAACTTGTCGTTATCCTTCAAGAGAATCCTCATAGTGATGAATTTGATTATGGTTACTTGCTACATTAGTTCTGAGTTTGATCGGCTGAATGATGAAAATCGTAGATTTTTCAATTCACAATGTCAATGAAAATGCCTGATTCCAATAAATCGTAAACACATTAGAAGAAAAGCGATTCATGATAAATAAGAAAAATTTTCGAAACTCGAGGTTAGTGCTTCGCACCGAATCTTCTATTCAACTGAAACTCGAATACCATCTAGTTTTATATTTCAAATAATGGATTATGAAACGCTAACTCTTAATTTGCTCGTCCCATATTGAAATACCATTTCCTATACGTTTGAAATTGTTGAAAAAACAGCTTCACGATAATTCTCTGATTCAAAAAGATATCTTCTTTAAAACTCAATTAATTTATTATAAAGAACTTTTCATTGTACTGTGTCGTATATCTGTGTTGTCTTTCTGTGCCTACTGTTTTTAAATGTATACTACGCATATAGCTTGTGCATATTATCCGTCGGATGTTGCATGGAATCTAATAGGAGTAGATAAATTAAGCCGTATACGGCACTGAAGAAACGATGTAAACACGGTCCTAATATTAATCATCGGTTTTTTTTTCTGACGGAAATTGTCTTAAATAGCGTTGTTTACGTTCTAGTAGGAAACGCTCGATAATTGTAGATATCAAATTACGGCTAGAGAAAACTATGAACAATGGCTATTGGATATTGGACGCTCGAAGTGTTTGTTTTGTGAGAAAATATTTGTATTTAATGAGTTTTATAATAGCAACGATGTTATAATAAAATTAAAAAAAGACTGTCCAATTTCTTTGGAAAGTAAACAAAAACGTCCATGATCCGAGGTTGGCACTGTCCTTTGACATTTGTTCGGTTGGATTCGACATGATGATTTATGATGTTTTATATGGTTTTTGAAAAAAAGATAATAATATCATCTATAGCAATATGCAAGTATGAATAGTTTATAAAAAAAGAGAAACAGAAAGACATACAATAAAGAATAGTTTTTGATATATCATATGAAAATACTAATGTGAAAGGACATTATCATTTTCATGAAGTCTGATAAAATCTTTAATATATATTAAGAAATTCAATTAATTACATTATATTAACTATTGACTGATTTTAATTCGATTCTATATGCCAAATAACAAATAAGACGTATTGGTTAGTTCAATTCTATAAATCAATATAAGACATAGTGCTATTCTTTGCAAATTCAACAATATGAATTATTGAAAAAAAATGAAATATCTGCCATAAAGAGAATTTTTTAAGATACGCAAACGATATTGAATCTGTAACGAATCATTCCGTATTTTCCAAAAAAAAGTTTTCATCGTGTGATACATCTCTTTTAATTTCTATTTGAAATGGATCTTTTTAATCATAAACATTTATAAACCATTATCAATAATACAAGATCTTCTTGTCGATTTACAGAATTCTATTGTATTAAGATAAGATATAAAGAAAAAAAAAGTCAATATAAATCGAATGTTAGTTGATTCAAAATAAATAATAAAATTAGAACTGTAAAACAACGATTTAAATCAATTAGTGGCTACCATTGATAGTATTGTATAATTATTTAAAACAATCACATCTATAGACAATTATTAGTTAAAAAAATAAATGTAGAAATTGTCAAGAGACCATTATAAGATCAAATATAATTCTTTAAATACAAAATGTCAGCTAAAAATTAAGTAATATAATAATCACGATACTCTAAATATAGCAATGATTAGTTTCTTCCTTCATTTCGTTTAAGATGAAAAGAACAAAACTGACTTCATTGAACAAGTGAAAGATTTCGATCCAATGACACAAATACTTATAGTCATGAATTTCAAATATATGCTTTCCTGAATCATTATAAATATATGGTAGATTTGATTAAGTTTGATCATATACCAAAAGTTATGTATTTTGCTAAACAAACAATCAAAGCTTAACTGTACGAACATGAGATTTAATAACCCTTATTCTTCTTTGTATTAAACCTTCCATTTATAGTTAGCTAATATTAGAATACTAGTTAATAATATATATTTATATATATATAGCTTATTTATTTCTGACATTTACTTATGAGTGGTCTTGATTTTTCATGACGGTATTTTGAAAAACAAAATATTGTGACGTGAAATACAAATATATAAATCAGCATATTACCATCAAATTTTCACAATTCTGCTTATAAGAAAACAAGTTATGTCTGGTGAAATACTTTGCTGAATTTAATCGATAGAAAATATAAGCATAGTGATTTATTATTTGTTTGCTTAGATTATATTTATTAATAAAGAAAAATGAAAGTGATCAATTACGAATCGTTAATAAGTTTTATTTTTCTTTTTGCAGATTTGTAAGTGATTTAATCATAGACAGGTAATTTGGTTTGATAGTTTAATTTGGGTCCATTAAAATTATTCTTTTGAGCAACACGATTTAAGGCAAAAACACATAACTAAAGAAAATAATTAATATTACTTTAATTAAATCATTCTTATTATTAACCAAAATATAAACCTACCGTTACTTGTTGAATATTCTGTTTGTCGAAACAATCAACAGCTTGAAATAAGTCACTAGGATTGACACCATAATCACGTGCAGCATTTTGAAAAAGACCAATATTTTCACGTAATTTAATTGAGCCTCCTTGTGTATGAATCTTTGGTACAGAACCAGGTTTAAGTTTATTCATTAATCTTTAAACAAAAAAAAAATATATAAATTGTATGAAAATATTTGCAATATGATTGAATCTTACTTGCATAAAAGAATTCCATCATGAAGAGCTTCTTCATAATCGTCTGTTGGAAATTTCTCACCAGTTACAGCTTCGATCCATTCTTTTGCTGCTTTTTCTTGTTCAGGATCTTGTTTGTAATAAATCTAAACGAATAAAATAATATTAATAAAATCATTTACTCAACCATGACAATATATGTTATTCATACTTTGTCTTTAACAGCTCGATCTAATGCCATCTTATTTTGTTGATTGTATTGATTAAGAAAATAAATGCTAACTAGCCACAAAACAGATCTAGATATATGCTGTCAGTGTATTGCACTACACTTTTCCTACGGTCTCTATCCATGAGTGGGTGTTTTTGCTTGACATTTCACATCTTACCGAAATAGGAAAATATAGATCGTGGGCAATACCTATAATTAGGATTCCAAAAAAAGGAATACATTTTATATCAAAAAAAACTATAGCCAATACGTAAAAAAGAACAGTTATTTCTAGCCAATAGTTTTGCTTGTGGTTGAAAACAAGCTTTTACTTAATGCTCTTCGGAGGCAAACTATGACGAAGATATATATAGAATAAAGTAAGATAGATTGATAATTGCTACTTTATACATATATAATAATTCTGGTTAGTAAAGAGCAACAACCACTTATGACACATGCCGATAAAAGCCTAAATTAGAACAAAAATGATATAGCATATGACAACACCCTCTTCAGACGATAATAACCGAATTAGTAATATGACATTTATGTCTATAATGATAGAATTCGAGAAATTTCTTGTGCTCCATCTCAATGATATTATTTTTCTATCGATAATAATGAAAACATTCTTTTCAAATTATGACATGTGATGTGATATTTGAAGTAATGATAATAATGTATCATTTCACTTCATATGAATCGATTTAAAAGTTCTCTCAAGTGTACTCTGTCTCTCTTTCTTTTTACAATCTTGATATTTTCAATCTAATAATAATAAATAACAATCGTTTGACCGTTGTCATCGTATTCAACCATTGTTAATTCTCATATATATAGTAAACTACTAAAAAAAAGCTATTTTATTTTATTTCAAGCAAGAGAACATATAACAAGTTTTATTAAACTCTTGTCTATCGGACATACGCGTGTGTAGACACAAATTCAAATCATATGCTTTTCATTTTAGTCTCTCCTTTTTCTATGATGCCATGGGAATAGAACTATGTTCAATTGGCTTACATTAAACAAATACAAACATATTAAGAGACATAGACAGACTATAGCATTGAGTATTTTATCTTCAGAAAGAAGAAAATATAAAGAACAACGCAAACAAAATGAGTTTCTTATATAGGCATGCATCGATCAACAGTATGTTATTTAGCTGTGAGCAAGGGAGGGAAAGAAAATTTATAAAAGATGTAAGACAATATGAACTTTTTCTTTTTCGTAGTCTTGGCTCTTATGCTATGGCTCAATAAGAAAAGAACGAAAGAAAATATAGGTGTGTGTATATGTATACACATATACATATATATTTATTTGAAAAGAGCGAGAGAGGTTGAATAAGTCCTTATTATCCTTTTCAGAACAAGAGCATACACATTTACACACACACCTAATATAACGTAATACAAAATGTCTTGTTGCTTTAATGTTGCTGGTTTTTTCTGTACTCTATGTGCGTTCATTGGATTAACGAGTCTCGTACAACTTTGTTTGGGCATCTATTTAACTTTCATTCAAATTGATATCGTTATAATCAATCGTCTTATCAAAACTGACAAAATTGATTCATCTCTAGCATATATTCTTATCGTATTTATTGGTTTAGGTTTTATTTCATTAATATTAGCTTTCTTTTCTATTTATGGCATGGCTAAACGAAATAGACCTTTATCATTATTTGTTTCAGTTTTATGGGTTAGTTTTAAATTGAATTCTTTTTTTAAATACTATTTATATTATTTCTTTTATACATAGGTATTTACAGTTGCAATTAATCTTGTTATGTTTACGATATTAATTCTTTATTATTATGTAGTTTTTCCACAATTACATATATTTCTCATTCGTTCTCTTCATCAATCACCATCAATAACAAGAAATTTACTCGATTTTCTTCAAACAAAATATACATGTTGTGGTATTAATAATAAAGATGATTACAATAATCTTTTACTTGATTCATTGCCTTCATCATGTTGTCGTGTATCAAATTGCTGGCGTGATACTGGTATTAACAATAATACTGGTTTAAATACTACAATGTCATTGATGCATACTGATGGTTGTTATCCAATTGTTAATAAATATATTACTTTTGAATGTTTGATAATTGGTGGTATTACAGGTCTTTGTGCTCTTTTACAAATATTAGCAATTACATTTATGTGTATTTTAAATCAACGTTATCAAAAATCTGATGATAATCAAAAATTTGTGATTAGTCACATAGGTATTGATTCATCATTCAATGAAAATATTAATAATAATAACAATAATAATATACAAGGTTCATCGAATACAATTGAAGAAATAGTTGAAGTAACTCAAATTTGACATTGAAAATGAAACAAGAATTTTATTTGTTAATAATTCTTACTAAAAAAATTTAGTTGTAGGGTTATATAATGTTGGGTGTATGTGTTTTTGTAGACACTAATTTTATCTTTTGCTGTGTAGGCAATATATATAGTGTGGCTGTTTTCTTTATAAATTTTTGCATGAGGAGAAGAATAATATTTCTTTGAATATTAATAAAATTTATAATTCGATAGAAATTTCAACGTAAAAGTTTTTAAACTTGTTTATTTATGTGAACAACATATGAAATTTTAGTTTTGATTATATCATCGCAGTAGTAAATTACTCTTATATCAAACTAAAAGATATTTGATCATTTGAGTGTTGATCGTTGAACTAACTCAAACTATTGAATAATAGTCGTTTTAGATTACAATCTTTTCATACTTCAAAATGAAGAAGAAAACAATATTAGATAATAGTTTTGTACATAAATATAAATCTATCGAAATGAAAATTTAGTTTAACTTGTACATCGAAAATTATTATCAACATCCAAGAACAATATTTGTTTGAAATATAAAGTGGCAATGACTTTTTTTTTTATTATCGACAACTTGAAATTTAAGTTTTGCATTGCATATGATAGAACTAATTATAACTTATCTATTGATTATATGATGGTGTCTTCTGTTGATATTACGTATGTTTCAGATATTTACTCATCTCATGTCGTTATTATTACTAATAGGTCGGCAATATAATTATTCATTATATATGATAATTCTACTGGAAATAGTTAGTTCATTTCTAAATATAAAATGAAGAACAGTGAGTTAGTTGTCATTATTATAGAATTTGTAAGTTAGTATTTAGGATTCTAGCTGGTATATTTTGAATGCATGTATTTTTGGTAAAACAAAACACTTTTTATAAGAAAAATGTAAACTTTGAAGAAAAAAAAAAATCTCAAATAGTTCTCAAAAACAAAATGAGTTAAACTACTTTATCAGCTGCAAATTTTGGTAATATTTTTTGCACTATAAATTTCGTCGCTATTGGTTTTATAATAGTAAACGCATATTGCTTAATTAAATATATTCCAGTAATAGAGTACGCAATAAAACGAACCACTTTTAATATTTGATCTTGTTGTTGACGTAAATCTACGCATTTTTTATATGGAATTCTTGTAAATGCTACCATTGTATATAAAGGTATCCACCAATTTGGCATTAAGAAATGTAAAATACGATCGATTTGTTTACGCCAATAATATGAAGGTAGAGTCACTAAATGACGCATTTCACGATAATTATACATAGATAAATCAACAATTGCATGAGCGTCAGGTATACGAGTTTTACTAAACCAAAAATTATTTATTTAACTTTTGAATTAAATAAAATATTTACTTATATGCAAAGAACGCTTTTGAAAGGTGAAAATTATTTTCTTTTAATTTTTCAAATAAAACTAACGTATCTTCAAATGCTGAATTCATTCCTTGTGCATAAAATGGAACCATGGAATGTGCAGCATCGCCCATTAATAAAACATCTCCATTTGTTGAAACATGTGGTGAACATTTAATTGAAATAAGTGGTAATGGTTTTGATGAAAAATATGTTTCAATTAAATTTTCTCGTCCAATAAATGAAATAGCATCAGGAAAATATTGTTGAAAAAATGTTAAAAGTTCATCAGTTGTTGTTATTTTTTGAAAAATTGATAAAGGTAAAAAAAGTGTTGTTGTAAAAGATTTATCTTGATTTGGTAAAGCAATTAACATAAAATCATGACGTGGCCATATATGAAGATAATTTATTTCCATGGCAAACTTAATAAGATATAAGATTTGATAAAGAACACAAATTTCTTTATTTTATTTACTTTCCCATCTTTTGGTGGTATACAAAATTCCATATAATGACTTTCAATAAATTCTTGAGAAAAATCAACTGAATCTATTTTCATCATTGCTGCACGCACAGCTGAATGACATCTAAAATTCATTTTATATTATTTGATTAAATAAAATATTTTGTTCTTTTTTTTTTTTATTTTACCCATCATAACCAATTAAAGCATCGGCTTTAAAATCAACATATTCACCAGATTTACTAATTAGAAATAAAAATAAAGATTTTGTAAACATAAATTTTTCTTATTGATTTATACTTTTGAAATGTTGCTTGTTTTTCTTCTGGATTCCAGTTGATAAATTTATGTTGAAAATGAATTTTTATTTCAGAATATTTATTTGCTTCTGCAAAGGCAATAACATTCATAATAAGAAATGATAGAAATAATAAACATTACAAAATATGATATTACCATCTAGTAAAAGTTCATTAAGAATACGTCGATCAATTGATATAATTTCCTTTAAAAAATTTAAAAACAAATTATTTTAAAAAAAGTCTGCTTTTTTTTTTCATTTAAATATATTACATGTTCTGGACGAGTACCATAAGGTACAGCTTTTGTATGACACTTAAGATCATGCAACATTCGTGCACGCATTGGTATACCATTTCGAACAATAACATCTTCACAATGAACATAAGCAAGAGCATCACGACCTCGACGAGATAATGCCATATTAATACTACGACCTTTAACTACTTTTTGTGTACGAATATCTAAATCACATAAATTATTTATTTATGAGATGTACAAATGTTTGACAACAGACCTGGTCGTAATTCAAATAA